TAGGGTTTTAGGGCTTTAGGGGTTTTCAGGGGTTTAGGGGTTTAGGGGCTTTAGGGGTTTTAAGGGCTGAGTAATAGGGTTTTAGGGATGAAAGCCCATGTTTGGTTTAGGGGTTTAGGGGTTTAGGGTTTTAGGGGTGTTAAGGGCTTAGTAATAGGGCTTTAGGGGTTTATGGGTTTAGGGCTTTAGTTTAGGGGTTTAGGGGTTTTAGGGTTTAGGGGTTTTAGGGGTGTTAAGGGCTTAGTAATAGGGCTTTAGGGGTCTAGGGTTTAGGGGTGTAGGGGTTTAGGCTTTAGGGGCTTTGGGTTTAAGGGGTTCAGGTTTAGGGGGTTTGGGGTTCAGGGGTTTCGGGGTTTAGGGTGGAGGGTTGAGGGTTTAGGGCTTTAGAGGTTTAGGGGTTTCAAAAAAAGGTTCTGCTACAGGACTATATATGATTCAGGCTCCCGCTTTTGGATGAGATTTCGGGTTCAGTGTTTTCTAGGGGTTGCTATATAGTGGTCAGTTCAGAACGGACTACCACAATGAGGTGTCTTCGTGTTTGTTTGTTTTTTGGAGATATTTTAAGATGCTTGATAGGGTTTTAATCGTTTGGGGCAGGGGGTTCAGCAGTCTACGGAGTTGGGGGGGTGAATTTGAGGCTTTCTTTGAGAAGTAGATCTCCCCTAAACCCAAAAACCCTAAACCCGAAACCCAAAACCCAAAAACCCTAACCCCGAAACCCAAACACCCTAAACCCGAAAACCCTAACACCCTAAAGCCAAAAACCCTGAACCGGGGTTTCGGGGTTTAGGGTTTGGTGGTTTCAGGGGTTTAGGGGTTTTAGGGTTTTGGGGTTTTGGGGGTTTAGGGTTGAGGGTTCAATATGCTGGTGGGGCTGGGCTCGAAGACTTACGTTCGAAACTCCTAAACCCCCCTAAACCCTAAACCCTAAACCCACCATCTAGTCCTTGTTTTCAGAGTGCCCAGGCCTTTACCTGAATCAAAAGACTCTTCGACCCTGAACGCCCAAACCGTAAACCCTTAACACTTAACCCTGAATTCCAAAACCCTAGACCCCTAAACCCCTAAACCTACCCCCCGCTCACAAAAAAAAACGCCCTGAGACCTGAAGATTGCTTCAGGCAGAGCTCACATTGGAGCAAGCCTTCGACCAGGCTTGCAGTCAGAGGTTGAGGGGCCAATATCCACTAGATAAGTTAGCACATATGATAACACATAATACAGAATCTGTAAGATGTAAGATGCAATATACATGTATATATATATATATATGTACACTATATGTATATATATATATACTAGATATGTTAGGCCTGTGGCTAGGGGCTGACAGCCCAGAAGGCTTAGGGTGGTATGCTTGGTTCGGCTTTGCCTTGGGCAGGCGATCTCGCGTCTCGCGTCTCGCGTTTCAGCGCATGATTTGTTAGCGGAGTCGTCAGGGTTTAGGGTTCAGGGTTTAGGGTTTAGGGTTCCCGTTTAGTTCGAACAGAGCAAAAATGTTCAAGCCTGCGCCTCAGGAAGACCCTATCTGCCAAGCTCGAGCACGACCCCGAGTCGTGCCGCCGCTTGCCGATAGGCCTAACAGCAGACACAGCACCGGAGGCCTGTCGCCGGGTGCTGCTCATGCTTTGAAACTTGGGGCTTTGGGTTTATGTGCTTCCCTATGATGTTTGGGCATTGAAGGCTTGCTCGTCGTCTGCATGACTGACAAAGAGAGCTTTTCAGGGAGTGGCCGATCACTGAATCCTTAACCCTCAGACAGAGCCTCCCGAACCCGAAGGCTACAGACCAGCGCCAGGCGACTTGACCCAAAAAACACAAAACCCTAAACGCCAAACCCTAAACCCTAAACCCTAAACCCTAAACCCTCACTCTTGGCAAGTCCGAGAGTGAGTGCTGAAACCCTAAACCCTAAACCAAACACTCAGACGACATTGAAAAGCCTACAGCCGGAGACCCCAAAAGCCCTTAATTACACTGCCTTACACCTTCAACCTTCGACCCCGCAAAGCCTTTTAGTCGACCTGCTAAACATTAAACGGAGCAAGACCCTAAGCCCTATAAAGCTTAAAGACAAGAGCCTTAGCCCCCTGGCCCTTAACTTACATCCCTAAACCCCCAAACTCTAAACCCCCAAACCCTAAACCCCCCAAATAGAAGAACCCCAACCCCTGGCCCTTAACGTAAACCCCTAAATCCCAAGCCCAAGCCTGAAAGACATAGCCCTTCGAACAGGCCGGGCTGCCTCGAAGAGCCCGCGCCCATCCATCTGAGGGCCGATGGGGCCTGCGTTGTAGAGCTTTGTCCGCCTAAAAAGAGGGTCTAAATATGCAATTACCCAGATTATTCCTCATGGCTCTTCAGTGCCATGTTGCTACATAATATACCCGAGGGCCTATTCTAGTATTAAGGACCCTGTGTCGTGCTCGCAGCTTCAGGCGATCCGTTGTGAGCATTGCTGCTAGTCCTGCCATTATTGTCATGATTGTGATTTCTTGTGATCATGGCATGACTGCTGGTTTTGGCACTGCTCTGAGCAATACGACTTCTATGGCGTATGATATGGCTGTGAGTAGTCGTTTCTGGACACTAGTAAACTACTAGTCTTGAAGTGTCAGTACGGAACCTGAGCTCTACCAGTACATGTATACGTCTGGATGCCCACAGCAGCAACCAGAAGCGCCATTGCAGCACCCACAGTGTCGTCAGAACAGCTCGTACCAGCTTACAAGCAATAATCGCACAAGCAGTCACGATTCCAATTTGCGGCAGTCCAAACTCCAACACGCCTGCCGTACCTACCGCTGCCACTCCTGCTGCCACTGCTACTTGTCTACTACCACTACCAAGACCACGGTTTGCATTGTATGCTGGCATACGAATCAGAATAGTAGTAGCAGTAGTAGTAGTAGTAGTAGTAGTAGTAGTAGTAATAGTAGTAGTAGTAGTAGTAGTAGTAGTAGTAGTAAACATAATGGTAGATCATAATGATTTAATGGCAATATCAATCTAAATCAAAAAAATCAGTATTGATGATAACAATAGCAACACTTACGCGACACCTCGGCATGTCGCAAACATGTTTTCGGTTGGCAGCGCTTGTGTGAGGAATCCTGCTGGCAACAGCAGCATGCCAGATTCTAAAAGGTTCTGCTGGTGTGCACAGATAAAAAAGCGCCTGGATGGTGGCCCGGCAAGCCTCACCTCCGAAACTAATGTAGGGGCCTTAATAATTAGAATAGGGTTTTGGAGTATATTATACTATAAGTACAACAAGGATCCCCCAAAATAGTATAGGCAATTAATTATTAAGGCCCTCATCTTACCTAAACCCTTAACTGATTTCCCCGCTCTGATGACTCGTCCGCAGGAACGCAGGGACCCAGGATTTGTTTTGGCTGGGTGATTGTCTGTTGAGGGGTGCATCAGACGAACCGTTGGATGGCGCTTCAGTGAAACCATGGGCGGCATAAAATAGGGGCCTAAATAGTAATTACATATACTATTTCGGGGGGCTCCTTCTTATAATTATAGCATAATATCCCCAAAACCCTATTCTAATTATTAAGGCCCCTACGTTACTGACACATGGCATCCTGGGGCCAACCCCCGGACAGTGAATCACAGGCCATGCTGTGAAAAGTGTATTACAGCGTTGTGTAAGTCTTTCTAGTGTTTAGGGTTCAGGGTTTTTCTCATCAGAAAGAAGTAAAATGTAAATCCCAACGTTTTCAGCTCAGGCTTGGCACATTATCGGTGAGCCTGTTGTCAGTTGTCGTTTCCACTCGTCCGCATCGCAAGAGGCATTCAGACTTCATTGTCCCTGGTCTGGAGGTGCTCAAGCGGATATGGGGTTAGAAGTTAGAAGCTTCTCATGACGAAGCATGTTCGTAGCAGACCTAGACTTGGCGTTTTTCTGGTTGGCTCTTAGGACTTGAATTTTTTGGGTTAGGACTTGGTTTTTGGGTTTCTATATAAATTTGTAAGATTTAGGCTAAAAGTATAACTTTTAGGAGGGGTTCAAAAATCAGCCAAGTAGAAGCAGCTCTCATACTTGCTAACTACTCGTCGCACTAAGCATTCTAATTATAAATGCCCTTACATTAGTTACGGGGACATGACTTTGACAGCATCGCCATCGCTTGCGCGCCCCTCGTCGTGGAGGAACTTCCGTTGGGAGCTCAGAGCTCTGGCTGTCGCGTGTTGTTCGAGAGTATGGGTGGGGAACAAGCCCCAAACCTATTCCTTGGTCTATTCTTTCTTGCTTCTCAGTACATTTATTGCAGGAAACCTGTCCACGCCAGGAGACCCAAATGCTTCTACTCAAGTATATACTGGTGGATTCAAAACCACGGCCCAAATGCGTTCCCGCCCTCATTGCCGAAATTCAGGAGGACATGGGAGTGCGGCTTGAATGCTCGCCCCCAAGCACCAGCGCATTTCAGGAGCACGGCGCTGATGCTGCATGCGATTTAATGGCAGGACTCAGGAAGGAGGACGACCCAAATTTGTTCCAGCGGGTACTGCTGCAATTCATTTTTTCGAGCTCAACATGTAGTCGCCACACGGATCCTCTGCAACTACACGGGAACGCTTCTCTCGCACGCGCCATGGGGGAAGACGAACCATATACTGAGATACTCCCAACTCTCAACCTTAGAACCCCACGTGCGTACCACACTGTTTGCAGGAATTATAGTCAAGGCCGATACCATGCGAGAGGGAAAACATAGTCATTTGTTTTGGAAGGGTGCCATAGTATTCCTGGCGTTGTTTTTGCCATGTCGAGCCTCATGGAGCTTAGCAGCCTTCGCCACCTAGGGTTTGCAAAGGTTAGGGAGTCAGAGGGTTTAGTGGTTTCGAGGTTTCCATGTGTGAACGGCTTCGAAGCTTGTTGTATTCGTTGAGAGCTATTGGGTTCCATGTTATGCGTCAGTGCAGCCCTGCCGTGGCACTGTCGGGTGCTGCATGTTGACCACAGGTGTCCGGAGGGTTCCAAGATGAGCGACGAGGAGGAGGAAGGGTCTTCCGAATACTCCTATGAATACTCCTCGGAAGGATCTGCTGAGGGGCATGTCGATGCGCCGAGCACCTGGAGAAACAATGGCTTCCTCAACGAAGAGCAAGAGATGGATGACTCTGGATCTGAGGATCTGGAGGGAGAGGAAACCGAAGAAGACGACTCCTCGGACGAGTATTCAGAGGAGTATTCCGAAGGCTCTGCAGATGAAGCCAGCTGCATAAAACAAAGGGCTGACGCGAAGGAGCCGCAGGAGGGTGTAGACTTCATCAGCCCAGCACCTAAGCATACTGACAAGGACTTGGCGCTTGGTTGTTTCTCTCTGCTGCTGGTTCTGCTCTAGCCTAGACTCTAGCAGTTGCGAGTTCTGTGCATGTTCCTTAGTGCAGGACACTGGCTCGGCAAAGAGAGGCGAGCGTCCCCTCCAAGGCGCCGGATGCGCGGAGCGCATCGATGGGTTGAGCATTGGGGCAGGCAAAGGCGTCCTCAACGAACAAGATGAGTACTCGGATGGGTCTGGATCCAAGGGGTTGGAGGGCGAGAAAACTGAAGAAGACGAGTATCGGGACCAGGACAAGCATTCGGCTCAACACTCAGTAGCTGGCTACGCTGATGTGGTTCTAAGTTGGGCAGAGGCAGATGAGGCCAGCGGCGCAAATCAGGAAACTCGACATTGGACGTTGGTAAGGTGGCTCCCAAAACATCGGAATGTTTGTGGAAGTCTTAGAAACGAATATCAACTACTGCACGAAGGCGATGCTTTCATCGGTTGCAGGGGTACGCATGCCTTCAGGACATTTCGGGCATGTCAGCAACAGCTCGCTGAGACATGGTTAGGCAGGGTTTCCGAGGCAGCGGCAGTGCGATTCCCGAAAAGGTATGAAAAGACTCGCCCCTTCAGTTGAGGAGAGCGAGATCATTTGCAGGGCGGCCGTGGTGGATAACCAGCAGCTCGCAGAGCTCGGCCCCAAAAAATGCATGTGTGCGTGTGCTTGTATTGCACGGGCATGAAGTTGCTGGTGTTGTAATACATATATATATACTTTCATGCATACATGCTCTCGGGTCCCGGGCCACCACCACACCCACCCCCCCCCCATGGTATCCCCCTCACCCCCTATAGTACCTCACCTTGGGGGTGTCGCCCCACCCCTGCCCCCACCGCCTATGGTACCCAACCCCTGCGCTAAGCAGCAATCTGCGCATCAGACATG